AATGCATTAAATCACAGGTGCAAGCCTGGCCTTTACGTTTACGACACCATTTTAATATTTGTATTTTGTGAATAAAATGTGCAAACGCGTAAACGGCAATGTTTACATATTTTAACGGTGTGCTGTAACACCCAGATTACGGGCCGTACGATAGCGTCCTCTCTAGCACTCGCTACACGGCTTCCACCTCGCCTTGGGCTAGGGCCAAGGCGTCTTCGAACAAAAGTTCCTTTTCTGCCCACTTCAGCACAGAACATATGTCAGGCTGCCCCTCGCCATACTCCCTGAGTCTGCATGTGTTGCCTTTATGTACACAGGGCCTGTGTTTATGCGTATTTGTGCGTTTTACACCTAAATACAATGCAGTACTAATTTACGTGTGAATACACACAAATACACCGTGCTTACGCCGTGGAGTCCAAGCCTGCAAATGTGTAGCTGTTTTAAACATAAAGTGCCTTTATCATTTGTATTTCTACCTATCACTAGGTCAAAGGACCAAGCAACATTTTCTGCAAGCACATGTATCCGCATCTCATCAGTGTTTTGCATGCTAAAGACACGGAAATAACCCAAACCCGTAAGCTTTGCACACGTTTGGACACGTGTTATTTGTCCCTTTTTTCCTAGTTTATCATGTGCATGTGTGCTGCGCTTTCGCCCCTATAGGTAAGAAGACATTGTTGCCCACCAGATGTCAGGTGCTGCATCCAATGGATACCATGATAAGACATTTGTGGATCTGAAAGGGGCAGCATTCATTCAAGTCCATGGTAGATCTGATCTGATGGACTGATGTGCCTAATTTCAGCCTCTGCTGCTCACCCCAGAGTGCATCACAGTTCCGTGAGAGAAGACGGCAGATTCTGGCTAGGTTGTGATGCTATCACTTCCAAGTCACATCATTTTTCTTCCACAGGGGAAGGAATGCTGCCCTCATGACATTCGCTTGAAAAGTTTTCCATTTAATCTTTGTCATAGTGCTGTAAGCTTGGGCTTATTGAAAGCAGTTGGGGTCCTGCCCGGAAAACGGATTTGAAGACATCGCCTTGCTCTGCAGGTGACGAAGGAGGTCCTTTACTCTTGGCGGATGCTCTGCAAAGAGATGTAGATGCTGGGATGGCCGATAACGATTTTCTTGTGGGCATCATGTCATTTATCAACGATTCAGTGTGCACTACCAATGGCCTTGCTGTGTACATCAGAGTGACCAGCTTCCGCGAGTGGATCAGCAGCATAATTGACGAGCCATTAGAGAATCAGGTGTGTTGGGCATACGACTCTAGCAACAATGTTGCAAGAGTCCTTTCCGCATGTCCTGACAAAACGGGCATTACCTTGCATCGGCGCTGAGGCCATCATTTTGCGACACCATCAATTAAGTGCCCATTGGTTCACTGGTACTGGATAGCAGAGGGGCATGCATGTGTATGCCAGTCTTATGTCAATTCATTTGGTGAAAGCAGTGTTCGGAGGTGGCACACGAAAGGAAGAGAAGCGTCCCTGTTTTCCAGCGACGTCACTGGCCAACGTCAGCGCTGGCCAGTGCACTTCTGTACTTCCTGCCAACGTTCCCCAATACTGTACCATAATATATTACACCCTTCCGCATCAGTCCCTCCCGACCGTTATGTTTTTGCTCCACATTTTCGTCCCGGACCGTTACGTTATTTTCTTTTTTGCTCTGCATCGTGTCACGCGGGTTCTGAGGGGCCTCTAGAGGCTGTATCCCAAGTTTCAGGTGCAACGGACCAGCCCCAAGCCTCGTACATGCGTGCACCGTGCGACACCAACCACCCCGCTCTGGGGATCGACCGCGCCCCACGCGAAGCTGGTCCGCGAAGCCGGGTCCCTTGCCGCGAACTCGTGCTTGCTAAATATACACCCCCCCCCCCCTGCCTCATCCGCCCAGCTCACCCCGCTCCCCGTGCTCCTGGCCCCGGGCGGCGGCTCCCAAGGCGGCCATCCCGGGCGCCGCGTCCCCCCCCCCCCAGGCCGTTGGTCAAAGCGCATGCGCCCGCCGACCGCCCCCACTCCCCGCCCGTGCCATTTCGTGTTGGCACCTTCGGCATGGGTGCCCGCGCTCCCCTGCGGTCGCTTCCCAATGTTCTTGGCCCAAGCCTCCTTGATGGCAAGCGGCGGGCGCCTGCTTGCCTGCCGATCGATCGCCCACGCTCCCCTACGATCGCTTCCTAAGGTTCGAAGCCAGAGCCGCCTGGCTGGCAAGCGGCGGGCGCCTGCCTGGCGATCGATCGATCGATCGCCCACACTCCCCTGCGATCGCTTCCCGCTGTTCGAGGACCGACCCGTGTGGTAGGCAAGCGGCGGGCACCGGCCTGCCTGCCGATCGACGTCCCAGTGGCCTACCAAGTGGCGATGCCAAGCCCGTTCCAAAGCCGTGCCCCGGCCGTTACTAAACTCGGCTGCTCCGCATCTTGCTCCGGCACCGTTACTTTTTTATTCATCGACTCTGCGAAAATGGGCCTAGCGTTACGTTACTATGCGGAAGGGTATAATATAGTACTG